TCATTCTGGCGAGTGATCTGATTTGCGAAAACTGGTAAAATTCTAGCCTGAATTTCATCCGATTACTTCGAGTTGTTATTACTCCCTCTGAGAGAGTAATAACGACTCGAAGTAATCGGATGAAGTTCAGGCTAGTAAAATTCTTCGTTGAAAACTGTTTCAACTGCACAATTTGTTGTAAGCATATATTGTAATTTGGTAAGATCTGTTCTGATCCAGGGGAATGTGCTATCTACATGGATTATTGGCAGTTCATTTAGCCTGAATTTCATCCGATTACTTCGAGTCGTTATTACTCCCTCAGTAACGTCTGAATCGAACAGCCGTTAATGCCGTCCAGTGACGTCACTACTCCTTGACCTGTCCTTGATCTTTTGCTGTAATTCATGCAAAAAGTAAAACACGATTTTCAAGTGGCAAACCGAGAAATATCGTTTGGAAATGTCTGCATGATACAGAACTGCTTCATTTTTTTCGATTGTAATTCATGTTTAACGTTCAAACTATCAACTGCATACAGTACAACTCTGAACCGGTTTTACTAAATTCTATAATCAAACTCGGTCGCAATCACACGATGAAATAAACAGACACACGGAACACTTTATAGTTCAAAAACACAATGATTTGCTTTAATTGAAAAGAAGCCATTTGGTCCTTAACGAAGGAAAAAAACAAGGAGACAAGAAAGAATAGCTAACAGAATCATTACACTTAACGGTAAAAATAGCAAGAAGATCGAATTATAACATTGATCTCAGAAAACTTCGCGAAAACAAAATCACCAGCCGCCGAAACCACAAAGCGGCTCTAAATGAAAAACCTACCGACCCTCCGCAATGATTCTTCATTCGCAGTTCAATTTAGCATTTCAGTTTCGAAGACAAGGACAATTTTGCTGTTTAAGATAAAGATTAAGCTTATCGAAATGCATGAACTAAACGAAAGAATGCCAGGGATGCGATCCGCTGAATATCAAGCGACAATCCCGCTAAAATTTTTCATAATTATACATAATTATGCGAATGTTTAGACAATCAACCAATCAAAATCACTACCCGGTTTTCGGGTAGTGAGTGACGTCACTGGACGGCATTAACGGCCGGTCGATTCAGACGTTGTTGAGAGGAGAAAACGACTCGAAGTAATCGGATGAATTTCAGGCTACAGTTCATTCAGTGTAAAACACACTGCCTGCCAAGGGCAAAATGTGCGCTTACTTTGATACCTGGAGTGTTTCCTTTTGTAAACAAACCGCTGAGTGCAGTGAAAAAAAAAATCCGCGGCGTACTTGGCTCTTCGCTCGTTTGGCTCTTTATTGTATCTGATACTATGTTATCCTTAAAAGAGTAGCTTTGTTACAGTTGGTCATTAATTTTATTCGAATGACCGTGTCAGGGAGGGAAAACATTGTGGGTTTGTCCAAGGGGTAAAAAAGGCGCAAAAACACCTCACCAATTTATGTTTTTCCTTAGGTCAGATGACAAAATGTGAAAATGACCTGCAAAATGACCTAAAAATTGAAAAAAAAAACCTGAGTCGCTTAATCATAGGTGGGTTAAGATGGTTAACCCAGGGTTCATAATAAATTTTAATTCAAGTTTGAAAGCTTAAAGGAAAGTCAGTCTTATTCTTTTGGTCTAAAATTTGATGATTGGATGCTCCAAAAATTAGCGGAGAAAATTATCCGAGAAAATGCTTTTGAACAAAAGAAAGAATTCCGAATTNATGTTTAGACAATCAACCAATCAAAATCACTACCCGGTTTTCGGGTAGTGAGTGACGTCACTGGACGGCATTAACGGCCGGTCGATTCAGACGTTGTTGAGAGGAGAAAACGACTCGAAGTAATCGGATGAATTTCAGGCTACAGTTCATTCAGTGTAAAACACACTGCCTGCCAAGGGCAAAATGTGCGCTTACTTTGATACCTGGAGTGTTTCCTTTTGTAAACAAACCGCTGAGTGCAGTGAAAAAAAAAATCCGCGGCGTACTTGGCTCTTCGCTCGTTTGGCTCTTTATTGTATCTGATACTATGTTATCCTTAAAAGAGTAGCTTTGTTACAGTTGGTCATTAATTTTATTCGAATGACCGTGTCAGGGAGGGAAAACATTGTGGGTTTGTCCAAGGGGTAAAAAAGGCGCAAAAACACCTCACCAATTTATGTTTTTCCTTAGGTCAGATGACAAAATGTGAAAATGACCTGCAAAATGACCTAAAAATTGAAAAAAAAAACCTGAGTCGCTTAATCATAGGTGGGTTAAGATGGTTAACCCAGGGTTCATAATAAATTTTAATTCAAGTTTGAAAGCTTAAAGGAAAGTCAGTCTTATTCTTTTGGTCTAAAATTTGATGATTGGATGCTCCAAAAATTAGCGGAGAAAATTATCCGAGAAAATGCTTTTGAACAAAAGAAAGAATTCCGAATTAACCGGCCGTCGAAAAACTGAACGCAGATTACTTTTTTCTATTTCATTTGTCATACAAACATAGTTTAGACAAGTAAGAAGCTGCTACTCGTACTTTTACACAATTTCTTTCAGTTTTTACTTTTAGAGAAATTTACAATTTGTCATTTCAATTTGTTTGTTCTTTTCTTTTTTTATACATGATATCCATCAGTTTTCTTTCCATTTAATACAAAAACTTGATCCAACCTGGCTCATTTTACTTCTTTCCCTATGCAATTTAAATTACTCATAGATTTACTTTAATAAGTAACTGTGATTCTCTTAACGTCTTGTGAATGGGGCCACTATAATCTTGTCCCCAGGGCGTTCCTTTTTTCTGAGGCAAAAGCCCTGGGGACGAGGTTGAGACATCATGATTCGGTTACATTAGTTCTGCTCACATAGAGGCAATAGGAAACTTAAGCAACGATGACGGCGACGTCAGTGAGAACGGCAAAAATGCAATAGATTTAGATTGGCAAAAAAACAACACGACTACGACGTGAAAATGCCAAATTTCACGTTTTGTCGAGGACTTTGTTTTTGTTTTCCTGAAATTCGATACAGTCTTTAGAATTCAATTCCAGAAAATATTGCTAACATTTAACGAACAGAAGGAGATGGAATAGTCGAGGTAAAGTTTGAAACAGCGCAACTTCACTTTTTAAGCGTCGGCGTCGTTTCTTAAGCTCTCTAATCAGTAATGTCTCTGAGCAGGAGCCCATGATCAGGAGCCTCTATTTCCACTGAATGATTTCTTGAATTAACCCTTTCTCGAGGAGATTCATAAGTAGAACGACTTGTTTCCCGCGAAAAGTGTCATATTTCCGCGAGTTTCGCATGTCACCCTGAAGAAAATAAAGGTGGACGAAGGCCAAATCAGGAACCTGTCCTTCGACCGTTTTCCTTTTTCACTATACGTCCATTTTCCCGATTTTTTACAGCCGCTGGGATCTGGGTGTCATGAAACTTAACGTAATGAATTACCAGGCTGAGCATGAAGCGAAGGGATACAGCACGAGAGTAGCGAACTGAAGATCACTGAATGCTGAAAGGTTATCTTTGAGAGTGGTTGTGATTTTTTGTCATGTATTCCCCATGTAAGCACTTTAAAAAGTAGCCACGATTAAACGTTCTGGACGAGTTGGAACGTTTCGATGGTCAGCGCAGAAGACGTACATTTTGGCCATCAACGTGGATCATGCAGTGGATTTCGCCAGCTCAAGCACCGCGTGTGAAAGCGATGACCATGAAAGCAACTAACGAGGAATGGTTTGTTTCAAAACTAGAGCCTTCCTTTACAACTTGTATTACCATGAGTGTTACCTGATAAATAATGGCACGTAAAAAGTTGAACTGAACAGAACAGTTGATCGACTGTGAAGCTACTCTCAACGGAGGATTATGACAACGCGCTCTAGTCCAAACGCCCATTAATCTCAAGAAAAACAAAATGGACTGTGTCTGCGCCTAAAGAACAATTTTGAATGACTAACGAGACAATTCCTAGCAGTTAGTGTAGCTTCATTTTAAGCTACAATTCGCACCTGTAGATCCCTTTACGTGAGAAAACAATAGATGGGCCCAGCGTTACAAACCATAGCAGGGAATCATCACACTGACGGACAAAACAGCCACACTGAAACCCCGCCTTACGGCCACCTCGGTAATACGGTCACCTCGTTATTGCGGCTACTTTTCTTTGGCTGCCTGGCAAAACGGCCGTACATTTTCTTGCAAAAAAAAAACCTCGTTAATACGGTTACCCGTTTATACGGCCAATTTGTTTTGGCCCATTGGTGACCGCATTAACGGGGTTTTACTGTATAGCGGGTAATGCATTCAAATAAATACCTTAGCGCTTTTAACATTGGCCACAGAAAACCGAATCCTGATAGAGCTACAGACAATAAACTGCAAGAAATAATTAATCAACGTGTATGGCCAGCTTCATAGCCCCTAGATCTTAATGTGAGACAAGCAGCCAAAATTAAGATTTTCACAGTTAGAGTTTAAAATTCTCCACAGTATAATCTACTCCCTAGAAAAAAAATCTAGAAAACCTCTGAGGGATGTTCTAGAGCAAAACGATAAGGTCATAATTCGCGAGCTTATGATTGTGTTTGGCCTGTCATCACTGTATTTCCTGTGCATGTGTTGTTTGATGTAGAACAATAGCTCTGTCACTACTTTGTTGTAATTGGTTCCTTTCATTGTCGACATGTGAAGCCTCCTCTGGGAATAGTTCTTGACTATTAATAAATCTACTCAGGAAAGGGTTTACTTCAAGGGCTTGTATGGGAGATAAAGGCTCCTAGTCATAGGCTCCTGATCTGAGTCACTAAGACGTTGCGACACCATCTTAGACAATGGGGGTGAGGGAACTGGAGACAACTATAAACTCTTAAAAGCCTTACATTTGTTCTAATCGGCTGCAAATTTCTCTGGTTTCTTATTTCACTTCCTACCTCGCATCGTTTTGCAATTTAGAGGTATTTTTATGATCTAACAACAATATCTTGCTATTCTCTCTCCTTTTTGTAGGAACAGTCACAGAGGGAAAGTACCTCTTCATTTCGCGAGCTTTGGGTAACGACACATGGTCATGTGATCAGTCAAAACCTTGTAAAACCATTTCACGGGCTGTTGAGTTAGCGTCAAGCGGGGATCACATTCTCTTGGATGGCAATAACACTGACAAGGATCCTTACAACTGTCAATCAAGATCACCAGAGCTTTCAGGAGTTCAGATCAATAAGAGTTTGTCTATTATAGGATATGGCAGTTTCATGCCTCACATACAATGCAATAAAGGAGCAGGTTTGCAGTTCAACGGTTCTAATAACGAGCAGCAAATGAATGTAACTTTATCAACGTTACTTGTAAGTCAAAGCGCTATCATGGTCCAAGATTCTTCTGTTCATATTGACGGTTGTAGATTTACAGGCAGCAACCAGGGTGTGGTGATCAACATCCGTGCTAGGTTATCCTTAAACATTCTGGTTACAAATTCAATTTTTTATAATAACAGTGGGTGCATCTCAGTCGTGGTGAACAGTACAACGAAACATTCAAAGAACATTCAAGTAATCTTCAGGATGACAAATTCTTCTTTGTTATATGGCAATGTCGTGAATGATGTGGGCAGATGTATTTCGTTTACGGAATCACAGAACAGTGGCCAGTCTGTAAGCTGTAATATCACTCTGGAAAATACAACTTTTTTTGGCAACAAATTTATTTTACCACAAGGTATTATTTTCTTAGGGATCAACAATGGCAGCCAATACATTCAATTCAAAACTGTGACTTTCTTTGACAATGGTATTTCATCAATGAGAGAAGATTTGATGGATGATAGTGTATTGTGCATCGTTCGTAGTACCGATGTAAATATTTCTATAAGTTCGAGCACGTTTAGCAGTGATTATGCAAAAGTACTCAGCGCAAGTGCAGAGGATATTTCTTTTCACATCTATAACTCGACTTTTTGTGGTCACAGAGGACGCACTAATGGCGGAGTCATCTCTTTGCAAGGAAGTAACTTATGCAAGTTGAACGTATCAAAATCATCGTTTGTAAACACATCTGCTGTTGTAGGTGGAGCAATCAGCATTGACTGTACCACTATTGATGTTGTCACCCTTAACCAGAATAATTTTACAAACAACACAGCAGTTAAGGGAGGCGGTGCTTTATATATCAAGGCTGTTAAGGCCTCAGTAGTACTGCGGCATTTAACTTTTACCAACTGTAAAACTTCTACTGGTTTTGGAAGTGGAGTTTTAATAAACACCACTCTTGACCCACGGAACAAAACGTCTGGCAACGACTTGGTATTGACGGTGGAGAGCTGTCGCTTTGTAGGATGCGGGACTAAGGCTATTTCTTCTACTGGTGGTTCTTTGGATGTGATTTATAAAACACAAACTAAAATAAACATTAGTAATAGTAATTTTATTTCCAATTTTCGCGCTCTACTCATATGGGTTGAATCATATTTACCTAAATCGACAGCAAACAGCAATTCGATTAAATGGAGCTACGTCAAGATACAAAACTGCATGTTTTTACGCAATAGAGGTTTGGGTTCGTTTTCTACTCCCGTCTCAATAACGGTATCCAATCAAAGTGTCATTATTTTTGGAAATGTGATTATGGAATCGAATGGGGCGTTTATTCATCCTGGAATCGGATGGGGAGGAGCTGCCTCTATTGAAGGCGATTGCTTTCTTACAATAGAAAAGTGTCGATTCTCAAACAATACAGCGAGTAATGTAGGTGGCGCATTGTCAGTTTCAGTAAGATCACTCATTGTCAAGGATTCTCTTTTCGTGGGCAATAAAGTTACAGCTTTACGTGATGGATATGGAGGCGCTCTATCTGTTACTGCTATGTCCGTTGTCATCTTTAACTCCACATTCAGCAATTGTTCTGGAACGTATGGAGGTGCTCTCTATGCATCAGAATCATGTGATAATATAACAATAAAGAAATGTCAATTCGTGGAGAACAATGCAGGTCATATGGACAAAACAGAAACTGGCGAAGGAGGGGCCGCTCTCCTCTTTGGAACTCATGTGCTGTTTGAAGAAACAACTTTTTATAGAAATACATGCGTTTGGGGTGGTGCTGTTATTTTGAGAAAAAGTGGGGCAACATTTAAAAACTGCTATGCTGTAGACAACTTTGCAGCAGTCCAAGGTGGGTTTTTGTACGCAGGCTATGATGTAAAAGGTGTTGATATACATGTGCAAGATAGTGTTTTTAAGCAAACTGTAGCAGAGTTAAGGTGGTTAGAATTTAGTTACAAAAAAGCCTTATTTATACTCGCAGACAGCTTGGAGGAATTAAAAATATTTAACACAACAATGGAATCTACACCATATTACAGTAATGGTGTTCTACTGCTGGTCACCAACGTGACTGTCATGGATTTTGGAAAAGACAACTCGACTATTCTTAACTGTCCTATTGGGAGTCAGATTGAAATTCTCAGTTTTACTATGGGTATTCCTCCTAAAGCCACTTTTATTTGGCAGTTTAGCTGTTCAGCCTGTGCAGACAATTCCTACAGTCTACAGAGTGGTCGTGCTGTTGGATCTCATGTGGTACCAGGATTTCAGTGTCTTCCATGCCCATTTGGAGCTAACTGTTCCCAAAATATAATCTCCAAACCAAACTTTTGGGGTTTTAAAGAGAATATTACTCCACCGACTCTTAAATTTACGTTGTGTCCGGTTGGTTATTGTAGTCCTCCTAACGAAACAGAGTTTCCCAAATACAACGGTTGCCAGGGTAACCGTACTGGCAAATTATGTGGACACTGCAATGATGCTTACTCGGAGACACTTTACTCTGAAGCTTGCAGGCCCTCAGATGAGTGCAATGACTATTGGTTTTTGCCTGTGGCGTTAGTCTACGTATCGCTAATGGCATTTTACCTGACATTTAAACCTCCTATAATACCTTGGATTATGCGTCAAATCAAGTGGTTTAAAACCAACGATACGGCAGACGAGGAAAGTAACAGCGACGGAGGTTATGTTAAAATAATCTTCTATTTTTATCAGGCTGCGGACCTTCTCCTTGCCTCAAACACATCACGGCGTTTTGCGGAGGGTAAAGTAAAGAACATTCTTGTTGGAGTGTTCAACTTTCGACAATCGTTTTCATCAAATGGACTGATCTGTCCCTTTCCAGGCCTCACAGTAGTAACGAAGCAGTTATTTTCGGCTTCTGACGTATTTGGAACATGTCTAATGATAGGTGTCTTGTATTGTTTGCACAGAGGAGCTCAAAGGTGTCGAAGAAAAGAGGCCCCAACTTTTTCTCCTTATATGGCTGGCATTTTACAGACAATGTTGCTAGGATACAAAACGCTTGCTTCTGTGAGTTTTAACCTCTTACGTTGTGTGCCAATCGGCTCAGAGAAACGCTTGTTTTTGGATGGAAACGTTGTCTGTTTTCAGTTGTGGCAATATATTCTGATTGCTTTTGTCGTGGCTTTTGTTATGCCGTTTGTTTTTGTCTTACTTTGGGGTTGTTATAAGTTGCACAACGGAAGCCTATCTGTGGCGAAATTTCTATTGGCTTGCTGTTTTCCATTTCCATTTCTTCTTTACTGGCTATTCCTGTTTTTGCTTTGTGTAAAACGAAATGCGGCCCAAACAGACACAGCCACAGGGCAAATGTCCCAGAGATCTGTGGAGACGACACTTTTTGGCTGTTTCAAGAAGCCTGCGAATGGTGGAACTCTCTCTTTGGGCTGGGAAAGTGTTATGATCGGACGCCGGCTTATTCTCATTTTGTTGAAAACATTTGTCAATGATCCAATGCTCCGTCTATTCATCATGAGTTTCCTTTGTGTTTTGTTTCTCCAACATCATTCCATGACTCAGCCGTTTCGGGATATCACTGCCAACAGAGTTGAAACCATTTCGTTGCTGTCTCTTGTCCTCTTGGGGATGGTAAACATGTTTTTTGCCTCCTTTGTATCTTTGGCTGTTCCATTAACCGATCATTTTAAGTTCTCGTGGTATTTCTGTGAAGTATTGGAAACCGTCATTCTATGCGCAGTACCTGCTATTATTAGTGTATTTGTAATTGGTGCTGCTTTATCGCTGGTGATCCGCTTTCTTCGCGCTTGTTTCAGGTGGTGTTACAGTAAATTTAAACAAAGTGAAGATATGAGGCCACTTTTGTCCATGACAAATTACAGTCAGTCAGTCACCCGGTAACGCTTTCTATAAGGCATGTTTTTTTTAGACCTGTCAGCCTTTTGGTCCCTTTTCAATGTTTATCCCGATTCTAAATGCATTTAGATCTTTTTATTGTAGAAGATAACGCTAGATAATTCTGACGTTGGTTTCATTCACTACAATTCGCGACAAAATTAGTTGAGACACTTTGCCGTAAAGGGCCTCTCTCACGTTTTGCCAACCTAAAAAGGGGAACATAATTAGCCAAAACTGGCTGGTCATACCAGTGTAATGGTAAAGAGAATTATATCATTAATCAAGGCTGTCCAGCCAGGTCATGTTTCTTTCTAAATGATATGCACGGCTGTTACGAGTTTTTAGCAAAAACTCTATAGGCAAGGATATGTATTTGAATTTAAGCTGTCCACTTAGACACGCTCTACATTCACTGTTTGATATATTTTTAATATTGTACCAAAGGTACCGGCAACTCGCGAATGACAATCGTTGTTGCGTAACAGAAATATGTAAGGAGTTTGTATAAGAATTTTAGCGATCGTTATTTAGGGAACAGAAATAGCAGGAAAATGCAACTGTTAAATAGTTATCTCTAAAATCCCTATAAAAACGCTAGTTTTGTTACGGATGCAACAGCGTTTCAACACAACAACAACATAAGCTTTACTTGAAAGACTATAATTATGAAGTTACAGTATTGCAAAAGCTTTAACATAAAATTACAATTTATAACAATGATAATGCAATGCAATGATTACTACGGTCAATCAAGTGTCATCAGCATGATTTGATAACAAATTAGTACGTAAATCATTACATAATGATGACATAATGATTCTCACTCGTGATATTAAGGAACCTGTGGTTATACTTTAGTGTAGTCAGTTACATATAATACATTGTAATTATTTTATTTTTTATTCAATAAGAATAGGTAATAACATAATTTGTAGTGATATTTGGTATAAATACCACGAGTGGTATTTATGCCAAATATCACGTACAAATCATACTATTATTTGTTTATACTACTACCCGCAAAAGGTTTGTAATTTTCACATGCAGGTATTTCAAATTGAGCCAAAATACCACTGCTCTAAGTCAATCAGATAGCAGAAATTTCTCATGTAGTAGTATAATGATTGTAATTAACCCAATGAATTAATTTGTTTGTGTTGTGTCAAAATGCGTATTTTGACTATGTTGATTCTGGGATAATAATTGAACAATTGTTTCCTGCAAATATCCGACACTGATGACTTGTCACTTCCCCGATCTGGGTCATTTACTGCTTCTGATTTGTCCTGCAAAGAGAAAAATTTGTTTCAGCCAATCAAAAGCACTACTCACACAGTCTGTTAATTGACACGTGATCAGTATGGAGTTTCTGCGTTCGCTTCTCGGACGTCAATAGGGACCTTAAGATCCGAGGACGGCGACGGCAGAGAAAACGTCGCCGAAAAAGTGGATTCGCGTTCTTTCAGTCTTTGTCGCGATTACTCCAAGTCATTAATGTGGGTCACCCTAATTGAATTAAATTCCTAAGAAACATATCCAAGTTCAGAAAGAGAGAGGAAACTTCGTAGTCGCTTGTGTTCTTCCTCGGTACACCGTGAAATTAGGCATTCTCACGTCGTAGTCGTGCAGTGACGGGAAAGAAATGTACCAAAAAGCGTGATGCAAGTGCAAAATTGTTGTTTTGGCTATTGCTTTTTTGACGTTCTCGTTGCCGTCGCCGTCTTCGGATCTTAAGGTCCCTACTGACTTCGTGGGGAAACCAGTCAAGGCATCGTCGCAAAATGTCGGCTATTTTCTAAGGCTAAACACGTTAGTGCAGTTTTTCCCTCTTTTAATTGGCTTCATAAGCATATTGTTCACGTTTTTCTTAATCACAGAAAAAAAACAATGTCGGTCCATTGAATTTCACCGTGTCATTCTTGAAGCTCGTTTACCATGGGGAGGCAGTCCGCTATGAAAAGGAAGCAAATGAAAAATTGGAATTATACTCCTAAAGGAAACCAATTTGGGCTTGGCTAAAGCTTTATCAGATTTAGCATCTAAAGGAAGTTGGTTTCGATTTGCATAATCATGGCGGCAACACGCTCAAAGACGTTCTCGGAATCAAAATTTGGAAATCTTGAGGAGGACGATATCCATATCGGGTGTTGGGGGGCGGGGGCGGGGCGGGGCGGGGAGTACTTGGGTTAATTTTTGCTGGGTATGTGCCGCTGACCTCTCAGAGCCCCTACCCCATTATAGTCTATTCTGTGGCCAATTATAGACCCTATCGCAGTCACTTTTGGACAAATAATTATGTAATTTTCGCGATCCCAACTTAGTTACTTTCTAGTTATGTATCTAGCTTATCAATCCTTTAAATAGATCATCCTAAAATGAATTGACCCATTTTTTTAATTGAATAAAGAACACCTTACTGTTCACCTACAGTACAAACATTCTGGCAAGTTTGCAAACCTTAAATAATATATAGATTTAGCCAGGGCCAAAAGCGAAGCTCTCGTTAATATCTATATTTTACTAAACAAAATATAAAATAGTGTAACTCTAAGGGGCAAAGGCAACGAAAACAGTCAAAAAAAAAATCACTAGGTCTAATTAGCAAAAAAAACTTTGCACATGCAGCACACTCTTTTTCTAATTAGAAAAAAAAAATTTGCACGATTTTTTGTACATTTCTTTGCCGTTGTTTTGCAGGACTACAACGTGAAACTTCCAGGAACTTCCTAGCTCCACGTTTTATGGAGAAAATGTCGTATGTGTTCCTGTTCACTTTTTTTTTATCGCGGCCGCTCATTTTCACCTTGGTGGCAGCTAGCATTTCTCCTTTTTCTAACCGCCACTAAAAAGTTTTTATGTTTTTGTTCCAATGAAATTGGTCTCCTTTGGTTCTTATCTCTCGCTCTAGCTCTTTCTCTGTTACCCACGTCATTTAGACATTCAGATTAAGTCGAAAAAAGAATCGGCTTTTGTTGTTGTTGTTTTTATCTCGAAAAGACCGGGAAGCTATGCGATTTACCGCCGAAACGCGCGGGTGCTTGAAATGCAAAATTTCATCCCTGCTTACATAAGGTGGTGCACGTAGGTACGTACTCCGTACGGACGATTTTCTCAGAACCTAAATTTCTTGGATGCATAGATTACCAAATTTTCTCACCAATTGTGCTCAGCTGCGCGCGCTTGGCGCGCGCAAGAGCTCCGCTTTGAAACTCTTTCTTACCCCAAAACCAGAAAATGTGCTACCCAATTATGGAAACTCCATTGAAAATGCAACCCCATCAGTAGTCAATTCAGTCGTGAAAATGTGACCCCCTCCAGCGCGGATCAAAGATAAACCTACGCTATTGGTCACTTTCAAAGCAGCCAATGGCAAGTTAGTATTTTCGATCCTAGCCACCAGTATTTAAACAGTCTGCTTCGCTCTCTGTTGAGACTTTACCATAGTAGCAACTGACGAGGAACGCTATAGTTCCGAAACTGCAGTCTTGCTTAAGAATTCATAACAGTCGCATAGACGACTGTTAAGCAAAAAACTTAAGTAAATACCTACGAAGGAACAACAAGACATCGCGCTCCAGTTCAAAGACTCACTTATGTTAAGAAAAACTAAATGAACTGTGTGAGCGCTAAGAGAATTATCTTCACTGACGCACGACATATTTCTCCAAACTTGGTGTAGCTTAGTTTAAGCTACAGTGTACAACTCAAATCTGAAGATCGCACTATCCGTGGAAATTCAAAATCCTGCAAACCACACTATAGAGCTGGGCTCAGAGTCATACTGATATGGCAGGAAATAATCACATTCACGGACAAAGAAACTTGCATGCATGCATGTAGTTAATCAGATACAGTCATTTCGGAGAAATCCAAAAAAACTAAAATCTTTTTTCAGCCGTAATAAACAGAGGTCAAAGAATATAAAACACTTTACAACTGCATCTGAAATCAAATTCTATCAGGGACACCTACAGAAGCATAAACCCAGGAAATGATTACTCAGTATGCATGTAACAAACTTATTTCATGACCTCTTAATATAAGACTTAGCGCGGCGAAANGTTTTGCAGGACTACAACGTGAAACTTCCAGGAACTTCCTAGCTCCACGTTTTATGGAGAAAATGTCGTATGTGTTCCTGTTCACTTTTTTTTTATCGCGGCCGCTCATTTTCACCTTGGTGGCAGCTAGCATTTCTCCTTTTTCTAACCGCCACTAAAAAGTTTTTATGTTTTTGTTCCAATGAAATTGGTCTCCTTTGGTTCTTATCTCTCGCTCTAGCTCTTTCTCTGTTACCCACGTCATTTAGACATTCAGATTAAGTCGAAAAAAGAATCGGCTTTTGTTGTTGTTGTTTTTATCTCGAAAAGACCGGGAAGCTATGCGATTTACCGCCGAAACGCGCGGGTGCTTGAAATGCAAAATTTCATCCCTGCTTACATAAGGTGGTGCACGTAGGTACGTACTCCGTACGGACGATTTTCTCAGAACCTAAATTTCTTGGATGCATAGATTACCAAATTTTCTCACCAATTGTGCTCAGCTGCGCGCGCTTGGCGCGCGCAAGAGCTCCGCTTTGAAACTCTTTCTTACCCCAAAACCAGAAAATGTGCTACCCAATTATGGAAACTCCATTGAAAATGCAACCCCATCAGTAGTCAATTCAGTCGTGAAAATGTGACCCCCTCCAGCGCGGATCAAAGATAAACCTACGCTATTGGTCACTTTCAAAGCAGCCAATGGCAAGTTAGTATTTTCGATCCTAGCCACCAGTATTTAAACAGTCTGCTTCGCTCTCTGTTGAGACTTTACCATAGTAGCAACTGACGAGGAACGCTATAGTTCCGAAACTGCAGTCTTGCTTAAGAATTCATAACAGTCGCATAGACGACTGTTAA